AAATAAACCGCCAAAACTGTTCAGTTATATAATTAGGGGAAAGAACAAAAATAAAACTTCATATCTCTCAGTCAAAAAAAAACTCTCTTGTTTCCTTAAACCACTTTGTCTAAGATTTAATTAGTGACTTAATTTGAAACTTATAACACGCCTTTCACCCATCGACAACACCTTCTTCTTCATCCCCTTTCTCTCTCCCTCTCTCTCTCTCTCTCTCTCTCTCTCCTTTCTCTCAAACCTGCAATCATGGCTGCTCCTTTGATCCTCAAGAACCAAACAGATCACCGACAAGATCTAAATCCGAACTCGACCCATCTCTCCTCTTCGATCCAAGAAGCCAAATCAATCGCCAAAATATCTCTCCCAATGATCTTAACCGGTCTACTCCTCTACTCTCGCTCCATGATCTCAATGCTCTTCCTCGGCCGCCTTAAAGATCTCTCTGCTCTCTCCGGCGGCTCACTCGCCCTCGGCTTCGCCAACATCACCGGCTACTCTCTCCTCTCCGGTCTCTCCATTGGCATGGAACCCATCTGCGTTCAAGCCTTTGGCGCCAAAAGATTCAAACTTTTAGGCCTCGCTTTGCAAAGAACCACACTTTTGCTCCTCCTCTGTTCTCTCCCCATCTCTATCCTCTGGCTCAACATCAAGAAGATCCTTCTATTCGTCGGACAAGATGAAGAAATCTCGAATCAAGCTGAGATCTTTATCCTCTTCTCTCTCCCTGATCTGATTCTCCAATCTTTCTTGCATCCTCTCCGTATTTACCTCCGATCCCAATCGATCACTCTTCCTCTTACATACTCTGCTTTCTTCGCTGTGATCCTCCACATTCCGATCAATTACCTACTCGTCTCTTCCCTCGGTCTCGGACTTAAAGGAGTCGCCTTGGGAGCAATCTGGACTAATGTCAATCTCCTAGGGTTTCTGATCATCTACGTCGTTTTTTCGGGTGTTTACGAGAAGACTTGGGGAGGATTCTCAACGGACTGCTTCAGAGGATGGGGATCTCTAATGAAATTAGCAATCCCTAGCTGCGTCTCGGTTTGTCTAGAATGGTGGTGGTACGAAATCATGATTCTTCTATGTGGGTTGTTACTTAACCCGCAAGCAACAGTCGCATCTATGGGAATCTTGATACAAACCACTGCTTTGATCTACATTTTTCCTTCCTCTCTGAGTATCAGCGTTTCGACACGCGTGGGGAACGAGCTAGGCGCAAATCAACCACATAAAGCGAGGATAGCTGCAAGAACCGGACTCTGTTTAAGCCTAGGTTTAGGTTTGTTCGCTATGTTTTTCGCTTTGATGGTTAGGAACTGTTGGGCTAGATTGTTCACGGACGAGGAAGAGATTTTGAAGTTGACTTCAATGGTTTTACCGATCATCGGGCTTTGCGAGCTAGGAAACTGTTCTCAGACCACAGTGTGTGGAGTTTTGAGAGGAAGTGCCAGACCTAAGTTAGGAGCAAACATAAACTTGTGTTGTTTCTACTTTGTGGGAATGCCTGTAGCGATATGGTTAAGTTTCTTTAGTGGGTTTGACTTCAAGGGACTATGGCTCGGTATGTTTGCTGCGCAAGGCTCGTGCCTAGTTTCAATGTTGGTCGTGTTGGCTAAAACTGATTGGGAAGTTGAGGTTCAAAGAGCAAGAGAACTCATGACTAGATCATGTGATGGTGAAGAAGATGATGATGGTAGTGGAAGTAATACGATGCCGTTTTTTTCGGATTCTTTGGACATAGAAGAAAGTGGGAATTATAGGCATTTGAATGAGTTTTGAATCTTGTGTCCTTATGTTTGATTTATTGGCACTAACGAAATTCGTTTCATTGTACACTTTCTAATTGATTATTTTTAGGAGGAACAACACTTCAAAGATTTGATCGTTGGGTTTTGAAATTATGTTACATTATGATTTGTGAGATATATGTTGCATTCTGTAGTTAATTTTTCCTTTCGTTGATAGTTGAAAGCAATGTAATGTAATGCTACAAATGTTGTTTGATATGATGTAAATCTTATGTCTCCTCCTGTCATTAAATATCATGTGAGTGACCTGTTTTCATGAGAATGACTTTTAAGTTTTAATATATAAACCCATAAAACTCTCTCTTTCAAGTGGTTTGAGTGTATATATCTGTAAGTGTGTATGTATATATGAATCTGGTTAAGCAATTAAAGGACAAGATAGAAGTTGGTTTCGTTGCCGGGAAATTCTTGTGCAAGAGGCAAAATAAAAGAAGTTGCATAAATAAATAAATAAAAATATATTAAACACCGTGTTTAGTGTGGTCCTCCATGAGCGCGTGAGACTTAGGGCGCGTGTACCGGGAGGAGCTGTGGAACTTTGACGTCGGCGAGAAAAGAGTAACGTCTCCGGTCTCCGTCAAGGTCTTCGTTTGCGACAGCCGACGCCGTGAACGACCCGCTTTTTCTTTTGTCTTCTTCTTCGTTTACTCTCTTTTATTCCATTTACAAATCGCCGACTTTACCCGATAACCCGACCCGATTTAACTCCACTTTTAAATTTAAATTGATATTTTCTATAAAATCCACACGGTTGGATGAAATATATAATATTACAACATTTAGAGTCTAAATCTGGATTAATAATTGACGACCACTTGGTATTAAAGAATGTAATATTTTACGTTGTAGACTAAAAATGTAACAAAGTCATGGTGTGGTGCAAAGGAACAAAATAGGCCCATGAAACAAGAAGAAATGCAACTAATTAGTTGTGAATATGCCACTAAAATCAAATCTCATTTCCTCAAGTGTCCCAACTTGCTTTTAAGTAACCATAGCTTCTAATGTCATTCATCCTCCATCACCTCTCTTCTTCTTTTCTTATTACTTTCTCTTTCCATCAACTATTTTGTCGACACATATATATATATATATATATATTTATTTTTCACCAAAAAACAATTGAAGAGTCAATTTGCTAAATATTCATATTACACTATAAAATAAAAAATATAATTATACTATTCACATAATAAACTTTATAACCAAAACTCTTTTTTTTTTCTTTTTTACTTATCAAACTAAAATTTTGAAAGGAAACAATATGCTATCATATTATACTATATACACACAATCAATAATAGTATAAACGTTAAACATCATTTTAGTAAAATAGAAAGGTATTGGAACTACCAATAACAAAAACAACTTCAACATGTAAACGTTCTATATTATATATGCTCAACTGAAAATAACATTTTGGTTCAATTTCATTTTATTAGAATATGAAGCTAATGTAAATAACATATCCAAATGTATTAATTCCTTATTTAAAAGTGTTATCACAAACTGACATATTCTTCTTTAGATTCATTTTAGAGTGTACATATATATAATTTTACATAATAATATGTAGTTAATAAATGAAAAAATAAATTGCAAATTTTCATATTAAGAAAATACAGAATTTAGCATTCTATAAAAAAGTATATAAATATGTGTTATTCTATAAAAAAAATAGAATAGAATTAATTTTTTATAATAAATTTATTTATTTCTTTAAAAAAATTATATCCGTTTTAGAAAATTTAAACAACGGTATATGTGAAAAAAATTACACTTTTTAACTCACTTAATTAAATTATTTTTGTTGACAAGATACAAAGCAAATGAAATAAAAGAGGTCTAAAGAATTATATAACAAAAATTAAAACAAAAAGATAGAAATGATATTATGCTCAACGGACTTGGATGTAAATAAGGACATATCTAGTATTAATATAGATTATATGAAGAATATTACGTTCACTTTTTTTTGGTTAGTTCATGAATTATAGTTTTTTTTAGGCTATTATGCTTAGTTTTCCACAATTGAATTAGATCTTTTTATTTTCTCTCTTGGGACTTAAATTATTCATTTCAGCTACAATGATAAGAAAAAACCATGTGAACAATTTTGTGTTTTATGCTAATCTGGTAAGTTTGATATCCACAATCATGGATTCATAGTACTATTAAATAAGAGATGTGTAAAGAGAGAATATCACATCTAGTGATCCAACAAAAGTACAAAACCAAGGAATAAAAAATCCCCTTCTGATCTAAAGATGATAGAAACCGTCAGAAAAAAACTTTCCTCTTATAGCCAACCTCATGTTAAATGAAACTAACAAATTTGTACTATTTGACTTCATGAATCTTCTTAATATCAGGATAAATAAGCAAAATAATAAATACTGTTAAGAGTAACTTCTATTGAATACTGATGAACAAAAAGAAGAAGACACTTAAAGTTATGTCTAGATAGATTTGTTTTCCCATTTTATGTCAGCTCCAAAAACAATGCTTCTTGTTTGCTCGTTAAACCGTGTCGTCGATGATCGAGCTTCCCCCATTCGTGTTGCTCGATGGACTTTGTTGCCTTACCTCTTTTGATTGATCACTCAAACACACCAACTTAAAGACGTGTCCAGTGAAAAGTTGATACTATATTTCATGGCACAAGCACTTACCAACCTGTAACTGTTGGGCTTCATATATAATTCTACAAATGTCCATAAAATAAAAAAATGGCTCCCAATAAGAAAGAAGACACGATTTGTGGCTATCAAATATGAGGACAGAGGATTCATGAAAAGTCAAAACTTGCATCTTTTCACTAATAACAAAATTTCAAAGTAGTTATTTATATTATCCTTTTTTTTTAACATTTCTATCAGCCCACGAATTTTTATCAAAACTTGTGAATGATAAGAAATTGCCACGTCATCGATATGTGGGAGATAAATTATTGAATTCAGGTCCCTTTGACATTTTGTAGGCAATGGCGGCAACAAGAAGGGCTATATCGTAGTTCTGAGTTTTTAGTAAGGTTAGATTCGTCAATTACTTCACTAATCCTGACAAAATTGTCTGTTCCTCAATCTTCACTTACATCGCAATTTCTACAAGTGGCAGCAGGCTATTAGCACATGGGACACGTGGCGGAAGCTAAATGCGTCACAGTGTTTATTTTAAAGCTGGTTCTGTTAATTATGGCGTCACGAGTGATTAAGAAGCAGCTGGGAAATTATTAAACAATGGGGAAATGCCTCATTTTCTTCTTCTGATTTTTTTTTTTTTTAAATATTTGTGAATTTTTTACCAGAGGCGGATGCGTCTGTTCAACAGTTTCTCCGGCGAAGTACGATGGCCGGAAACAAACCGGATTCGAGTCTCTACCAGGTTCTGGTGGAGTGGTGCCAGAGAATGGAGACGAGCCAAGCGAGACTAAGGGAGGATGTGGATGATCTGCTCCTCCAGGAGGAGAGGCGAGTCGGTGTCGAAGCGGCGCCGGAATTGGAGGCTGAAGCGGGAGCGGAGGTGGAGGATTCGTGGGATAGCCCGTCGGCGACCTGGGAGAGAGCGGTTTCGGGGTTCTACTTCGCCGATAGTGCGTACCGGACGTTGATGGATTCAATGGGACACGCGATTCATGTTACATCCGCTGGGTCTGGAGAAATCACATTCTGGTAAGCCTGATACCGATGCATGTGTGTTCTTCTTCGCGTTCATCTATGGTCATTGTAGATGCTTTGGTTGAATCAGGAGCTCGTAAAATTCGATTCGTTCAATTGAACTGGTGTTTGATGATGTGGTGTTTTTAGCTCATCTACTGAAAAATACCTTAATCTAACACAAATGCCATGGTTTTTGTGCAATTTCGTGATTTGACTTATAATTGGTGAGTTCTTTGTATAGATTCAAGTGTAAGTATCGTATTTATGTTCTTCTCTTCAGGAGTCGTTCTGCTGAGAATCTCTATCACTGGTATGCTGAGGAAGTTGTTGGCTACAGAACGATTGATGTGCTTGTAACCGAGGAGTACCGTAATTGCCTTACGAGTATCCGGAACAGGGTGTGCCGTGGCGAGACCTGGACCGGTCAGTTTCCATTTCAGAAGAAAACAGGTGAACTGTTCATGGCGCTGGTGACTAAAAGCCCGGTGTATGAAGGCGGAGAGCTTGTTGGTGTTGTTACAGTCTCGAGCGATGCAACGCTTTTCAATAGGATGCATCCGTTAAGTAGTGAGCATCAACGACAAGCACACGGTAATAGACACGAATCAAACTTGAGAAAGCACCAATGGCACCTCCCGAGACCACAGATCGCTGCAGCACCACAGGTTCCAGTTGTCCCGCAGATATCATCAACTGTTTCAAACCTGGTAATTTCTGAAATTCTGAGTTCGTTCACTGTTCTTGCTTGATTCGTGTACAAAAAGAATGAAATTGTTTGTTTTTCTTTTTGTTTCTCTGTTGTCTGCTCAAACCAAGAAGGCGTCGAAGCTTCTACCACAGAGAAATGGAGATGATTCTTTCAATGGAAATCAGAGTTCTAGGAACAGAGATGAAAATGTTCCGGTTGTTGCATCCACTACTTTCGAAAAGTATGGCTCAATGGTAAAGTCTTTGTTGTCTACTTAGACAGGACTTTGGTTTTTTTCTCATTGACATTTCCTAGAACAAGACTTTGATGTCTCGTGTTATCACCTGAATCTGCGTATGTACTAGTGTAGGCGGATAAGTTTTGGGGGAAGCTGCAAAGGAAGATTACTGGCAGCCAAGGAAATGAAGATAATGAGTCTATCTTAGGAAGTGGAATTAATAAGACGGTCGGTGGCAGTGGATCTATTTTTAAGGCTTCTAATTCAGTTAGCTGCACGACCATCAGAGACAATGGCAATGGAAAGCCGAAAATGGCTGAATCTAGTTTATTAGATGTGTATGGTGGTGGAGCTCGAGGTTTGAGTGAAGAGAGACACATAGTGCCACCTACTAAAGACCGCTTTCAGTTTATTGGGAATATGAGTCAAAGGAAACCACCCAAAGGACCAGAAACTGGTTTGACTTCTGGCAGGGGAACAAGAATGTCCGACTTGAATGGTGAGATCGAAGATGCTTGGACGGCTCGGCCTGGTGGCGATCCATATCCAAGTCTTGAAGCCAACATCAGTAGGCAACAAAGTCCATCGAGCAACACGCATAATGGATTACTCACCGATTCATCGTGTGAGATACGATGGGAAGATCTACAACTTGGTGAAGAAGTTGGACGAGGTGCATTTGGTTTACCAAAGTCTTACACTCGTTTTTTTCACATTTTATACATGCAGATTCAATACAGATGTGCATCTAGAATGTTATGTCGAATCCTGTGTATTTCTGATGCATTATGTTTGCGCACAGGTTCATTTGCTGCGGTTCATCGAGGTGTTTGGAATGGATCCGTAAGTCTTCTGCTATTGAAAGATAATTCAAAGATGATTTTTGTAGCAGTGCACATGAATAACTAACTAGTCCATTTTATCTGGGCCAGGATGTTGCTATTAAGGTTTACTTTGAGGGTGATTACAATGCGATGACTTGGATGGAGTGCAAAAAGGAGGTATGGTTCTCTCTGCTACGTTTTTAAAAAAAAAAAAAAATTATCCCAGACAAAATAAACGATTGGGAATCAATATCTTCAGATCAACATTATGAAGAAACTGAGACATCCGAATGTGCTGTTATTTATGGGAGCAGTATGTTCGGAAGAAAGATCTGCCATAGTCATGGAGTATCTGCCAAGGTGAGGTTATTGATAGTGTTCCTCGTTAATGGTTGCTGCAAGAAACTGTAGATCAATTCCCTGTGTGTTAATTCATTTGTTTCTGGCTTTGATGGTTAGAGGGAGTCTCTTCAAAATACTTCATAGTTCAGTTCAGCCATTGGACAAGAAACGTCGTTTAAGGATGGCCCTTGATGTTGTAAGACTCTCGTCTCTCAGAGACCTCCCTTGCAATGAAAAAAAGACTTGTGAAAGCCTGAGCGAGTAAGGATTCTCCATTGTTGTTGCAGGCTAGAGGAATGAATTACTTACACCGCAGAAACCCGCCAATAGTACATAGAGACTTGAAATCATCCAATCTTCTCGTAGACAGAAACTGGAATGTCAAGGTACAACTCAAAGGCTTCATTTTTTCCTCCACACATAGAAAGAATTATTAGCCTCTTTGCTTAACAAGTTACAACTCTTTTATTCTCCTCAGGTTGGAGACTTTGGGCTGTCGAAGTGGAAGAACGCAACCTTCTTAAGCACTAGATCCGGGAAAGGAACAGTAAGCTATTTCTGATTCTCTTGTTACACAAAAACATTTTTTGGATTTTCTGTAACTTAAAACATTGTTCTATTCTTCAATGTGCAGCCACAGTGGATGGCACCTGAAGTTCTCAGGAGTGAACCTTCGAATGAGAAGTACGTCTTGTATAATATTTAACCCTTTCTTATTATCCTTCTTTTGACAACATACCTTTGAGCTAAAAACTCGATACTTTCGTTGGAAACAGGTGTGATGTGTTCAGCTTTGGAGTCATATTATGGGAGCTAATGACTACCTTAATACCATGGGACCGTCTAAACTCTATACAGGTACCTCTCAAATTCTGTCGTTACGAAGCGCTTAATCATAAGATTGTAGTATTAATCTTATCAACTTTTTTTAACAGGTTGTTGGAGTTGTCGGGTTCATGGACCGACGGTTAGACTTGCCTGAAGGATTAAATCCCCGAATCGCATCCATAATTCAAGATTGTTGGCAAACGTAAGATTATTACTTTTTCATCAAATGTTTTGCCTCTAAACTTTGGAGGGGGCGTTTTATATAATCTTTGTTGTAAAATATTGTTTGGAACAGTGATCCAGCAAAACGACCGTCGTTTGAGGAGATAATAAGTCGGATGATGAGCCTGTTCCGCAAAGCGGGGTCGGGTGCACAAGAAGACGAGGATTGACAAAGGTAAATGCTGCTTCAAGGTTCAGAGGATTTGTTTACACAAAAGCAAAAAGTTTCGTTCTCATCATCACTTTATAGTTAGTATACAGATGGTCTCATTATATTATGCCAAACACTAATTATATGTTTTCGTCTCTAAATTAAAAAACAATAAAGCACACTTGCTGAAATCAAAGAAATATAGATAGAAGTATACAGAGATGTGTTCGGTTCTGTTTTGGAAAATGTATAACAGGAATAGAACCGAGTTTTACGGTTCAGTTTGGTTATACGCTATTTCCCGATTCTCTTGCGATAAAAAAAAGTTCGTTTCGGTTTCGTAAAATGGATTTAAGTGCAGAGAAGGAGGACCCAGATGTGAAATTTAAATAATAAAAAGGGTGCAAAAAAAAGAAAAAAAGAGGAGAAAACTGGAGATTGGTGGCTTTTAGTGATTTGGATTGTAGTTGGTTTCTGGGGGAGAGAGAGAAGAGCAGAGAAGGTGAAGGTGAAAGAGTGGAGCAGTGACAATTCGTAGCTTTGCCTCTTTTACTTTTTTATTCTCTCCTTACAGCTTCCCTATCACTGCCCCTCGTCTGTAGCTTCTCAGCACCTAATATAAAATGAGCCAGAACCCTAAAAACACTATTTTCAAAAAATATATATATATATCTTTATTTGTAATTCCTCAATTCAGCATCTTGAAATAGACAAAATTTACATATACACAATCATATTGAAGCAGAGGGTACATTATCATCTATGCGCATGCATGATTGCATGTGCGATGAAGTGAAAAAAGTATCGAAGGGAAGAAAATTTGGGGGATGAAAGATAATTTCTCTGCCTGTCTGTGTAAGTCAGTACAAATCACATCGAGGCTGCATGCTAATATCTAAGTTTACAACACATGCCTTGTGACCTCTAGACAACAACTTTTTTAGGCTTTATGTTGTTGCCTTATATGTATTTCGTAGCATTTCAATTCTGTAACATTTCGATTGAAACACTTTCGCTTTACCTTTATGTTATTATGTGTGATTGATTGATGACCGAGTCGAATTCCCAAGCGGTATCTTTTAGGCAGTGCTACGTCACCGGAATACAGTGGTTGATTATGTAATAAAACAAAAAAAAAGTAATGGTAGTCACTATAGCTGTTGAGAAATGTACAAAGTAATTCAAATGAGACTTGTTTTCGAGCATCTATCACTAAATTTATTTATTAGATATTAGGGGGAAAAGTTGAATATGAACAAATGAAATTACTTTGTACCATCCCTATGCACAGACTAAGTTTTTGAAGATGGTATTTTTTTTTCCTTCTAAAATTTTGATTGGGAGTGATGATTGATGGTCGTGATTGAAAATAATTTCAGTGTTGACTTTATCAGGAAAAATGACTAAAATCACAGCATTAGTCTGTTTTTATCGGTCAGTAAAAAGCTTTTGTTTCAGTTTAATTAAAAGTCATACAAAAAAATAAGCCATACCAAGTTAATTACCAACAGAGCCCTGATCTGATTGTGGTTTAGTTTAATTAAAAACATTTTATAAAAAACCATGCCACAAATGTTAAATACTAACTTTAAACAAAATTTATGTACCTAATAATCCTACCTAGTTAATTTCAGTTCGTTCCGTTATATGCATTCCTGTTTTTAAGCTATAGCTGAAAAAATCAAATTTAAAAACCCAAATTTTATCTCATGGCCATATGTATGTGACTTAACCACGACCTACCACATTCTCGCCACAATACAAAACCATTCCGTAATCGGTTCTTGTCGGATCTATCGCAGTTAGAACCATTTTTTATTTGCATGCTGTCCAGTTTTGGATTTTCTTTTGCAATCCCATATTATTATGGGAAACTGACTAAACAATTTTTGGAGGCTTCATGTTAGTTACAAGATTTGTTATTAGGTGCACCTAATCTTGTTAATAAATCATAATCTTCGTTGATTAGTCTATCCATATTTCCTGCTTCAACGATATATGATTGATCAACTTGCATTATTATTTTGTTATAATAAAAAAAAAACTTGCATTATTTATTCTTATACTATCATTCAAGAATATTCATAACTTTGACATTTAAGAAGAAGATCAGAATTACTTGCCAACAAATGTTATTTTGGGGCAAACAATAATTCCGCTGATAATCTTGACCATACTTATATTAGAGACAGAGTGCGGGGAGACACGTACGTAAGAGTTCATATAAGAAGGGGTTGACCAAAGTCAACGACCACCGTCCACTCGCAGTCCACTATATACGACTAACTAAGATTCATGTGGGCTCCACGTTTTGTAGTTACGTTACACGCGGCGAAATCGTAACGGCCTTTTAGCCTGATGCCTCTTCCGTCTCTGTGAGACTGTGATGTCTTTTTCTCACTTGCATGAGACATGCCGAAGATTCCAGTGGATTATTTGTCGGTCCAATTTTTTTTTTTTCCTTTTACGACTACGAGTTAGATTCTCCGAAGTGTTACACGTGAACTATTGGATTCATTAAGATTACTGCTATCTAATTTATTTTTGTTCAAGGACATATCTTTGTTAATTTAACGGTGTTTGTTTGTTCATTTCTTAGTTATGTGGGTGTATATACATTTGGAATGTATGAAAATTCACAGCTCAACTTAGTATCTTACGTTCGTAAATAAGCTACTTTTTTTATTGGCTTGGTTTTATGGCTATATACAGTAAGTACTAGTACAAGATACGTAACTGATTTTTGCAATATAGTAGTGAATTTCACAATATAAATTATATTCATAGCCAGTTTTTATCATTCCACAATTGTATGTTGAAGGAAAAATACAACATGGTAGACATAGGATGGAACTTATATATTCAATATAGTATATTCCACTATTCCAGAGGGAAATAATTGTCTGCGTTTAGTTTTGATAGATCGATAGTATCGAAGATCTTGTATACGTGTGTTAATAGCTATTTATATGTATAGAAGTAGAGAACCACGTAGTTAACAATCGTACTATACTATTACCAATCGCATCGTAACGAATATAGCTAGCCAATATACTTGTTAGTTGTTATACAATATTCGCTCTACAGTCCAAAAAGTTAACGTCCATATAAAATCCGAAAACAAAACATTTTAAATGCTTAAAAGACAAGGAGAAGGAAAGAAACAAAACAAAAAACACAAATATAAGAAAGAGTTTTATTCAGACACTTCCATTGCCATCAAGCAAAACGACGGTGCACCGGACGGCGCGATCCCGTTAGGAGACGAAATAACGGAGTAGGGACCACAAAAACGTGATGATGAATGGGAAAAGGATTATTAACAGCCATTGGATTATGGCGAAGGGTCCCACTACAAAAGAGTGACGTCATCCGTTATGGGTCCGTAGCGGATTATAGTGTGGTCCATCTCTTAAAAAAAAGTATTGACGCTTTTTGTCATCTCTCTGTTCTTCAGAGCCATCATATTATTTCCCAGATTCACATGAGAAAAACAAAAATATAGTATAATTATTTAAATAAAATCTTAGTCCCTTTTAGATTTCGTTACAGAGGGCTTGGATTAGATGTATTTTGTAATTTGCTTCATAAAAGAGATTTTACTTCTTTGGGATGTATATAGATAAATAAGACAACAAGGGACTGTTAAGTTTAAAATATGGAGAGATTAACGAAATTTACCGGGAAAAGAGATAGAGAGATTATGACGCACACGCGCGAGTGAGGAGCGTGGTGCTAACGAAAACACTGATTTCTACTGCTGCGACTACTTAACTCTTACAAGCCCTCATTTTCTCTTCTGTCTTCTCTCTCTCTCTCGTTCTCGCTCTCGCTCCAATGCGCAAGACACCGACGAGAAGAAACACCGTCGCTTCATTCTCCAATCTACAATAATGGGAAAAGCTTCACGGTGGTTTAGGATTCTTTTCGGACTTAAGAAACCCGACCCGGGTTATCCGGATCCATCCGTCGAGACGCCTTCTCGCTCTTATCCAAAACGCCGATGGAGCTTCGTCAAATCCAAACGCGAAAGCGGAATCGCACCGCCGAATCAGCCTCCTCCTCCTCCTCCTTCGCTACCGAACTCAACGCCTCCGCCGCGGTCGCACTACCAATCGTCACCGTCGTCTCACGGAAGACAGCGGAAACAGAAGCTGATGTGGGAGGACGAGGGTGGCGAGGATTCCGAGAAGCATGCGATTGCTGTGGCAGCCGCGACAGCTGTGGTTGCTGAGGCCGCCGTCGCCGCCGCTCATGCTGCTGCTGCCGTCGTCAGGCTCACGAGCACGAGCGGAAGGTCGACGCGTAGTCCCGTCACGGCGCATTTCAGCAACGGATTCGACGACGTTGTGACGCATGTTAACAGGTTCGACGGACACAGACACGGCCGCGACGGCCGTGAAGAGCTTGCGGCGATTAAGATACAATCTACATTTCGCGGTTATTTGGTAACTTTCTTTCTCTTTTATTAATTGTTTTCCTAGAGAAGGTAAATAGTTTCTTCTTTTGCCGGTAGCTAAAAATAATTTTATTTTACACGACTTTGCGTAATTATTGATTTCGTAAAAAAAGTCACGGGGATTATCGTCGAGATATAACATTTTTCGATGTCGTAAACCTTCTGCTGCTTCCTCTTCCCTAGACGAGTGATACTGATTAGACAAATAACCTTCTATATTCCCATTTTTTTTAATTAATAGCACTTGAATATTCTTCGTAGAAAGCCATTTGTTTTGCGGATTCCCAAAACTTTGTATTTGCCTTTTCTTCTCAATTTTTATATTCACCGGTTAGAAACTGTATTCAATTTAACCGATATTTAATTAGACTCCGGTTCAAACGTTGAAGAGTTGTTTAGTGTTTTATCTGTTAGAAATTTTATCAATTCTTTCAACTAATTTGGCTTTTCCATTTAAATGTGAGTTACTAAAGATCTTGTAAAATTACTGACCCTACAAATTTAAATGAAATCTATTTGTAGAAATATAGCTAGTAAAAGATCAATAAACATCAACCAATACGAAGTAGTTGTAGTTTTGTTCTATTGGATAGTGAATGTTTTTAACTGGACCACTTAATAACTACATGGTGATGTGGTGGCTGCTACATTTAGTCTATATTTCAGTTCATTATAGCCTAGACGTAGCTAACATATTTGTATATCAATTTTTTCGATGCATGCCTAAGAACTTTATACACTTTATAGTTGATGGCGAATCTTATATTTCTTTATTTATTGGAGGGTTTAAGAATTAGTGTAATAGTGTGTAAGACAATTCAGACCCAAATGTGGACTCGTGGACATAAAAGTCGCATTGTTCATAAATAGTCGATTCAATTTTCCTATTGTAGAGAGGGTGACAATACATGTAAATTGTCTTCATCATATTTATTTATATGCCTCTTATTTAGTTTTCTTGATTTCCTCGTGAATATTTGAAAGTTCAATTTCCTTAAGGGGTCAACTTGTTTTTTTCTTCTTTTTTGTCCTCCTTTTGGCGCCAACTCCTATAAAAAGTAATGCTTATTCAAAATTCAATATGCTTTTGTGGTCCTATCCATAACGAGAGCTTCAGCTCAAGAGTCAAGACTCGGACTTTTTTAAGAATTGACATTTAGGATAAACCAAATATTGATTGTTTGATTAATGATAATGAAGGCAAGGAGAGCGTTACGGGCACTCAAGGGATTGGTCAGGCTTCAAGCTATAGTCAGAGGCCATGTTGAACGAAAGAGAATGTCTGTTCACCTGCGCAGGATGCACGCTTTGGTTCGAGCTCAGGCTCGTGTCCGTGCCAGTCGAGCTATTGTCACGCCTGAATCCTCTTCTTCTCAATCCAACAACACCAAATCTTCTCACTTCCAAAATCCCGTAAGCCCTTGTCAAATCCCTTAAAAAGATTTTTGCTCTTATTCAATCTATATAACATGTCTTTAGTTCAAATTTCCTATTTAACAACTCTGTTTATCCATAAGGGTCCACCAACGCCGGAGAAGCTCGAGCATTCCATCTCTTCTCGCAGCTCCAAACTCGGCCATTCTCATCTTTTCAAGGTACTTTTACATTTTCATACATTGCTTATGTTCAAAACAAATCCCATCTCGTGGATTGATTTATATGTTTATCATTATTGAATTCATGTTAGTTAGGCTTATCAACTTCACATTTTGTTATCATTACTTGTGACTCTTTAAACTAAGAGATTGGATTAAAAATTTCAGAGGAACGGTTCTAAGGCTAGCAACAATATCAACAGAACGTACTGTGCTCACAGAGAAACATTCTCAGCTATGGACGAAGAAGAAAAGATCCTTCAAATCGACAGGAAACACAACACTTCGTACACAAGACGCAACAGACCGGACATGTTCTACTCATCCCACCTCGTCCTAGACAACGCAGGCAGGTCTGAACCAGTTTACTCCGTGCCTTTTAGCCCGTCCTCGTCACATGAAGAGACCGTGAGCCAGTTCTGCACAGCAGAGAACAGTCCTCAGCTATACTCAGCCACTTCTAGAAGCAAACGCAGTGGTTGCACGGCTAGTTCTATTGCGCCGAGTGATTGCACCAAAAGCTGCTGCTATGCGGACTATCCAAGCTACATGGCTTGTACACAGTCCTCTAGGGCCAAGGCCCGGTCTGCTAGTGCCCCGAAGTCGCGACCGCAGTTATACTACGAGCAGTCTTCGTCGAAACGGTTTGGATTTGTTGATGTGCCATACTGTGGTGATACGAGGTCTGGTCCGCAGAAAGGTTCGGCTCTGCACGCTAGTTTTATGAACAAGGCTTATCCCGGTTCAGGTCGGTTGGACCGGCTCGGGATGCCAATCGGGTATAGGTACTGAGAAAAGCTCTTGGAACGGTTTGGTCTATTTGGTTCGGGATGTGATAGTAAATTAGTAATCAAATGTAGAAGTGCAGAACTGGTTGAACCCGGTTTTTGTTGTAGATCAGTGGATTAAGCTTTTGCAGTTAATTTTCGTGGTACTTTGTAGTAGTTTGGAGTAAGTGGACTAAATCTAAAATGCAAATATAACTTGCTTAAATTACAGTGTTGAGTTTATCATTATTATTGTCAATCGTATATTTATATGCATAGATTGTTTTCCTTCAAAAAAAATTCTTGAATAAAAAACCAGAGCTACAAATAGAAAGTATTGGTGTAATTACAAAGAATTGAAAAGAAAATAATCTAACACTAAGAGACAAAAAATGTCATGTCCATTGGGATTTAACAGAGTAGCTAAGTTTATGGCACCGCTTACAATATCTGTTCAAGTTATCTCCTCTGGATAGTATCATCAATCCAGAAACAAACCTGCACATTGGTAAAAACACCCATTCAAACCAGAACCCGGTTTAGAAACCCAATAAAAAACGCCATATTCTTCTAGACATAAAAACAATTGTGTACCAGAGAATAGCACATGAAGGATTAGGACAGTTATGAAGCTTACCCGGCAACAAAGACAGTGGCTGCAGCTATACAAAGCACGAGTTGGCAAATGTTGTACTTCGGTTTAACAACTGAACCGGGCACAAGAGTAGAAACCCGGTTTTCCTCCCATTCGAACTGTGGATGAATCAGAAGAAGAAAACCGAGCAGAAACCCACCAATGAAACCTCCAATATGAGCAAAGTTACTAACAGGAGGAAGTGTCCCTAATGCTAAGTTAACACCAACAATCACCAATAGCATTACCAGAGCCACACCCTACAAATGATCACAAAAAATAGAAACAGAAATCAATCAATGAACTCAGAGTTTCTTATTAACCTCAATCAATGAATATTCAGTGTGGGTTTTGGGCTGCACATACCTTGTTGTCATAAGTAGTCCAATTGATAAGAAGTTCCGATAACATTGGTCCTAAGAGGCCAAACAAGGCGCTTGAGGCACCAACGGATATGGCATTCTGAACAAACAGACAAGAGAGTATGCTCCCGCAGAAGCCTGATACAAGATAGATTGTCCCGACTCGAACAAAACCAAACTGCTGCTCGAGACGGACTCCGATGAAGGCGACACAAAACATGTTCGCTAGCAAATGGATAACACCGGCGTGTCAAGATAATACATGTCAAGAGTCTCCAACCTTGACGCTTGTGAATTATTTTCCCCCATGCCAAAGCTAGCAATGGAACTGACGGATTGAGGCACTAACGGATAATTTCCAAGCACACTTTACTTTTGATCGAGGTACAATTTGAAAAAGTTAATATCAACGCTATTTTCTTTTAAGAAACAAACTGTTAGACCATCCACAATCGACTCAATATAGTGATATATGAATATTATATTAATTAATATATATATATATATTGATTTAATTAATATATTATTAGTGGATCTCTTAAAAAGTTGAGAAAACTATTTTGATATCTCTTATTTGAGAAGGTAAAAGAGCTGAATGAGCAAATAGATGATAAAATGAATGTCATCAAGAAGATAGAACAGATTAGTAATATTTAAAATATCTATTTTATACGAATGTTAAAATTCACTAGGAAATTGTTAATCAATGTATCTTGTTTCAAGAAGTTGATGATGATGCTCTGAACAAGGTGAAAGAGTAGAATGACCAAGTAGTTGATAAAAAGAATGTCATCAAGACGAAAGGACAGAGGTTCATAACAATTAGAATCTCTATTTTATACGATTGTTAAAAATAATTAGGAAGTTGGTAATCACTGTATCTTGTTTCAGGAGGTTGATGATACTCTGAACAAGATGGAAGAGTTGAATGAGCAAATAGCTGATAAAAAGAGTGTCATAAAAATTAGAATATATATTTTATATGATTATTAAAAATCATTAGGAAATTGATAGATATTTATAGTGTTTTCTATTGCAAACCTAGTTGGTTCAACCTTTGGGCAAAAATGTAACTAAATTACTCATATTTCTCAAACAATATGAGTAACTTAACCTTTGTATTTAGTCTATTCTATAGGATTCACTGTACCAATATATGTCTATGTAATATTTTGTAAATAATCAGAATAACATCTTTAAGTACAGTTTCCTCTTTTCAGAACTTCCTTCTAGGTGGTTTACTAGCAAACCATTCCACTAATTCACTCTTGCAGAAGATGGTGGATAAGCTTCCCGATTGATTCCAAAAAACCATAGCTCCTAAAGGAGAAACCACTAGAGCTGAGCTCAGGACATTGATGGGGACTTTTGTGGCAATTGTTGCCTATGTGGTGTCACTTCAAACCGTTAGATGAAGATCAGTCATGGGGCGTAAGAGCTATTATCACAAGAAGTGTAGCTTTGATATTGAAGATGGTCTTTGCCTACTTCTGGACTATCATCTACAAGATCCCTAAGTGGCAAGGAGTCTACATTGTTTTCATAGCTGTGACTGGTATAGCTGTGGCTGATATAGCTTTAGCAGCAGGTGCTTTACTACTCATCCCATTTGTAGGAAAGAAGGTTTAATATTTGTTTAATATTTGTTCTAAGTAGAAGTAGAAGACTTTCAACTAATTTGGCTTTTCCATTTATATGTGAGTTACTAAAGATCTTGTCAAATTACTGACCCTACAAATTTAAATGAAATCTATTTGTAGAAATATAGCTAGTAAAAGATCAATAAACATCAACCAATACGAAGTAGTTGTAGTTTTGTTATATTGGATAGTGAATGTTTTTAACTGGACCACTTAATAACTACATGGTGATGTGGTGGCTGCTACATTTAGTCTATATTTCAGTTCATTATAGCCTAGACGTAGCTAACATATTTGTATATCAATTTTTTCGACGCATGCCTAAGAACTTTATACACTTTATAGTTGATGGCGAATCTTATATTTCCTTTTTATTGGCGGGTTTAAGAATTAGTGTAATAGTGTGTAAGACAATTCAGACCCAAATGTGGATTCATCAGACGTATATTTTTATATGATAGTGATGTAGGCAGAATCGTTAAGCATAGATCTTTATATGAAGATGGTGCATGATGCATATAGAGCCATTAGTCGTGATACTTCATGAAATAGTAGAATTGATCGTTGTAGAATCAAAGTCGCATTTTTCATTAATAGTTGTTTCAATTTTCCTATTGTAGAGAGGGTGACAATATGTAAATTATCTTCATCATATTTATTTATATGCCTCTTATTTAGTTTTCTTGAATTCCTCGTGAATATTTGAAAGTTTCAATTTCCTTAAGAGGGTCAACTTGTTTTTTTCTTCTTCTTTGTCCTCCTTTTGGCGCCAACTCCTATAAAAAGTAATGCTTATTCAAATTTAATATGCTTTTGTGGTCCTATCCATAATGAGAAGAACTTGAGCTCAAGAGTCAAGACTTGGACTTTTTTAAGAATTGACATTTAGGAATTAGGATAAACCAAATATTGATTGTTTGATTAATGTTGATGAAGGCAAGGAGAGCGTTAAGGGCACTAAAGGGATTGGTCAGGCTTCAAGCTATAGTTAGAGGCCATGTTGAACGAAAGAGAATGTCTGTTCACCTGCGCAGGATGCACGCTTTGGTTCGAGCTCAGGCTCGTGTCCGTGCCAGTCGATCTATTGTCACGCCTGAATCCTCTTCTTCTCAATCCAACAACACCAAAGCTGCTGCTACGCGGACCATCCAAGCTACATGGCTTGTACACAGTCCTCTAGGGCCAAGGCCCGGTCTGCTAGTGCCCCGAAGTCGCGACCGCAGTTATACTACGAGCAGTCTTCGTCGAAACGGTTTGGATTTGTCGATGTGCCATACTGTGGTGATACGAGGTCTGGTCCGCAGAAAGGTTCGGCTCTGCACACTAGTTTTATGAATAAGGCTTATCCCGGTTCAGGTCGGTTGGACCGGCTCGGGATGCCAATCGGGTATAGGTACTGAGAAAAGCTACTGGGATGGTTTGGTCTATTTGATTCCGGTTGTGATAGTAAATTAGTAATCAAATGTAGAACTGCAGAACCGGTTGAACCCGTTTTTTGTTGTAGATCAGTGGATTAAGCTTTTGCAGTTAATTTTCGTGGTACTTTGTAGTAGTTTGGAGTAAGTGGACTAAATCTAAAATGCAAATATAACTTGCTTAAATGACAATGTTGAGTTTATCATTATTATTGTCAAAGAGTATATTTATATGCATATATATTGTTTTCCTTCAAAATATTTCTTGAATAGAAAACCAGAGCTACAAATAGAAAGTATTGGTGTAATTTACAAAAAAAAGAAAAGAAAATAATCTAACACTAAGAGAAAAAGAAATGTCATGTCCATTGGGATTTAACAGAGTAGCTAAGTTTATGGCACCACTTACAATATCTGTTCAAGTTATCTCCTCTGAATAGTATCACCAATCCAGAAACAAACCTGCACATTGGTAAAAACAACCATCCAAAACCAGAACCCGGTTTAGAAACCCAATCAAAACATTGTGTACCAGAGATCACCAGTATGATTGAGAGAGAAGGTATGGTATAATTAGTATCATCATTAAGGATTAAGACAGTTATGAAGCTTACCCGGCAACAAATACAGTGGCTGCAGCTATACAAAGCACGAGTTGGCAAATGTTGTACTTCGGTTTAACAATTGAACCAGGTACAAGAGTAGAAACCCGGTTTTCATCCCATTCGAACTGTGGATGAATCAGAAGAAGAAAACCGAGCAGAAACCCACCAATAAAACCTCCAATATGAGCAAAGTTATCAACAGGAGGAAGTGTCCCTAATGCTAAGTTAACACCAACAATCACCAATAGCATTACCAAAGCCACACCCTACAAATGATCACAAAAAAATAGAAACAGAAATCAATCAATGAACTCAGAGTTTCTAATTATCCCTCAATCAATGGATATTCAGTGTGGGTTTTGGGCTGCACATACCTTGTTGTCATAAGTAGTCCAATTGATAAGAAGTTCCGATAACATTGCTCCTAAGAGGCCAAACAAGGCGCTTGAGGCACCAACGGATATGGCATTCTGAACAAACAGACAAGATAGTATGCTCCCGCAGAAACCTGATACAAGGTAGATTGTCCCGACTCGAACAAAACCAAACTGCTGCTCGAGACGAACTCCGATGAAGGCGACACAAAACATGTTCGCTAGCAAATGGATAACACCAGCGTGTAGCCACATACATGTCAAGAGTCTCCAACCTTGACGCTTGTGAACTATTTTCCCCCATGCCAAAGCTCCCATCTTCTCCAATCTGCAAGATTCATCAAATGGATTCAGAACCAAAGCTAATGCATTCCTCAAGAACCGACTGCAACATAAACTCAGAATGTTGTTCTCATAATTGGCATAAAAGAGCTCCTCAAGCTTAAAAAATGAAGCTTGGAATCTCCGGTCAAAAAGAGATTCAACTCAAAAGATCAAAATCTAGAAAGAATCTCATGGAAAGAGAGGGTTTTTTTTTTCGGAAAATCGAGGGGGCTTTGACTAGATGTTAAATAGCAATCTGAGATTGGAAAGTTTGGTACTCGAATCGGAATAGAAAAATTCGTAAATCAAAAACCCAGATCACAAGAACTAAACCCTCGAAATGAAATCAGATGATACGAGCAAATAGCTTGAGCCACACTCACGTAGAGGAAGAAGGACCGAGAAGAGGATTGGTCTTGAAAGACTCAAAGGAGAAACGTCCGAGGAATTTTCCGAGACATCGATCGCTCCTGCGAGGGCAATCGTTGACGTACGTCACATAAATGAAAACGACGACGTTCGCAATCACCACCATCGGGATGACCCACGATGTCCATCGTACGTCGGGGGTAGTCTCGCCGCCATGGCCGTCTCTTCGCTCTATTCCTCCTTCAGGATCCTCCTCCTCCGCCGCGGAAACCATCTCTCTCTCTCACACACACACACTCTTAGCTGTAGCTTAATGAAACTCTCCGAATTTTTCTCTCTGGTATCATGATTTCTAAACACTTTCATTTTGAATCTTTTTGATTGAGGAACAAGTTTGAATATTTCAACGTTTGGCTTTTTAAAAAAGAAAAGAAAACAAACCGCTTGAGACATGTAACTCTGTGAACAGAGAAACTTTGCTGTCAAAGAGTTAAATTGAAACGAGTCAAAGGCCAATTCTCATGATTTTTTTTTTCGGAAAAATTTAGTTTTTTGTGTGTTTCATATGCATGTAAGTGAACGTACTATGATAATCCAAACATTTTTATCGATTCTATACCATTCAATAAGCACGGATTCCATAACCAATTAAATAAAAAAAATTGAGGAAATTTACAAAATTATTCTGAAATTTGATTTTTTTTTATTTTTGAAAACTAATTCATGTTCTTAAAAGTTTGAATACTAGTACAGTAGAACCTCTATAAATTAATATTCGATAAATTAATAATTACTATAAATTAATAAGTTTTGCCGGTCCCAAATCAAGTCAGTGTAAAAATTAGCAAATTTCGATAAGATAATAAGATAATAATTTTTTTTGAAACTCCTATATAAAAATATAGTCTCAATAATTAAATAAATTAATAATTATATATTTAAGCATATATAAATAATATAGTAATTATATTATATTTTCAAGTTTATAAAAATTGTTTGACTTATTTTTTAAATTCACTGATATGATATTTTCGGAATAAATTTTTTATTGTTGAAAACATTTTTTTTGTCTTTGGCAAATATTTTGAATTTGAACTGGAATATCTCTATAAATTAATAAAATATTAATTTCTCTATAAATTTATAATTTGTTGATTAATTAATAACTCTATAAATTAATAAATTTTTGAAGTCCCAATATTATTAATTTATAGAAGTTTTACTGTATTTCTTTATAAGAAATTCAAAACTACCAAACTTTTAGCAAGAGAAAATTATTGGTCTTTTCAGCGTGATCAACATTATTCAACCCACGAAAATTGCTATGTTGGCTATCTTCTTGAAAGATCACATCATTTTGCTCTCATATATTTCAATTTCGTATAATTTTTGGGTAAATTTTTAAAGTTCATGTGGCAAAACATAGTTGGAAAAGTCGGGCATTGTCATTTGTTCGTGTGTATCTGTAGCCGATACGATCTACGATCTGTCTCTCTCCTATTCAGGTATGAATCTCAACTCTCTCTCACTCTTGAATCGATTCGCTCTTGTGATTGAACAATTAGTAAAAGACACGCACGATTATAGAGTTCCCTAATAACCTGGGTACATCTTTCTTCAGGATTGATCCTGGAATTTACTAACTCAGTGTTTTTGGGTTACAGAGCTCGAGCTACAACAAAGAAAGAAGAAGAGAATCAAAACCAAGAAGGAAGGAAGACGACTCTGCAACAACTCGTAACAGACTTCTCTCTCTTATCCGTTATAACAACCAGCTTCTTCGGTTGTGGGCTTTTCACCAAAACATGGCCCAAAAGAATATTCTTCCACGAGATGGGCCTTAAGCACCAAAGCCCAAACGCTAGCTCCTTTAGAGTTTGGACCAACACTTCAAAGTATCGTATTTCAAACACTTTGATTATCAAGTTTTAAACAAATTTTCTTAAAATGGTCGAACACTTGGTTGTAAAGTTTTTTTGGGAGATGATTAGTTTTTGCTCTTGAGTTCGACTCTATGTGAGAAGGGATCTATTTTTTACAGAGGAGACTGATTTTGAGAATCAGAAGAAACAATTAGAGTCTGACCTAAAGAATAACCGAGAATTGGTGACTAAGCTTCTTGAGAACCAGACAATAGCTTTGGAGAAGCATAATATATATATATATATATATACATATTAAGAACCAACAGATGGATCTTGGGAACTAGGAGAGGAATTCCAAAAATCAGAAAATGGATTAGGAGAACTGCAACCAAATTTTCTTGTGTAAGAAAAGAGAGATGATATCATACGCAAAAGTTCACATTGTTTTTCTCTACATTAATGCTTGATTATACTAACTTTGTTGCATAAATATAATCAAGATTCAAATTAAGATCAAATTCCATCTGAAAAAATATAATTTGATGACTTCGATAGGTTAACCACCTAGTCTGTGAATGGAGATTAAGTAAAGCCTTTCAAAACCAAATTTTTGTAAAATGTGCCGAGTATAGCAATCATATATTGCTTGATGGTAAATAAATGTTAGACTAAACAGATTAGTGTTAATGATGCGCAATATAGTTATTAGGGGTAAATAATTAGTAATTTTGCTTTTTAATCATTGTAAATTTATTTAAATTGACAAAAAAATTAGAATGAACACACCACTCAATTCTAAGATGAGATAATTCTGATTTAGATTATAAATAAATAGATTAATTTGGATTTTACTATTTAATTTGGTTTTTTATTATTCAAACAAAACACAGTAGCAGTTTTGGCAAACTTTAATTCATCAAATTTTTCATGATCTAAGAATTTGAGTTATGTTAGCTATTTTATAAAAGATTAACTCAAAATTGTAATGCAATTATAATACATTGTAACTCAAAGTTTAATGCAAAAAAATAAAAATAATTCATGATTAATGATATTTTTGAGTTAGGCTGTTAATGCAAATTAAATTAATAGTAACTCATGTTACCAATCAAACCATTCAATTATAAACTTCAACACATATTTCTAACGTAAACTTTTACAGTACATAATACCAATTTTAAACTTACTATTTTTCTAAACTATAATAGATAGAGTAAGACAGATTACAATACGATATATTTTTAATTGAAGTGTATATGGGTGAAAGATTAAAATGAAACTGACGGATTGAGGCACTAACGGATAAATTCCAAGCAACCTTTACTTCTGATTGAGGTACATTTTGAAAAAGTTAATATCAACGTTATTTTCTTTCAAAAAAAAAAAACTGTGAACAGGGAGATATTACCTGTCAATTTTTTTGGGGGTTAAATTGAAACGCTTAAAACTATTAAGAGATTTGTTTTTTTTTTTTGAAAAAAAATAGTTGCTTTTTGTCTTTGATGTGTATGTACGTGCTATAAAAAACTATTAAAGGATTCCATCAGACTTGTTTCCTTTTTTTTTAATAATAAAAGGACTTATGTATATTCATACCGATTCAGCTTTATATTAATTTGGATTATACATGTACAGGTGGGTGCTGTCGAACGCGTGGTCCTGTGGGTATAAATCATATATTCATACAAATGTAAAATTAAAAGGAGTATCCACATGTCCATATCCGATTTTTACTATCAGTTTTAATAGTAGACGTTAACCAAAAGTTTGTCTGTTATATATGTTGGGTTTTGTCACTTGTTTATTAAATTTAGTCTAACTGAACTCGTTTATTAGTATTAACTATAAAACTAGCTAACATTAAAGAGATATATTTTTTCGTTTCTCAGGAAAAGAGATTTCCTTTAGTAAACAGAAGACATAATTTTCAACAGGAATTATGATACCAAAGTTTCGTGACCAAAAAAACATATAGAGAGATTTAAATTTTAGTTTTTTTAATAAAGTGGAAAAAATTAGATCAAATTCTTTTGACATTGCATGTCTATATCGGTTTCTAATATTAAATGTTGATACTGCAATATATTTGTTCACAAGTTAAGTATTTTTGGCCCTTCTCTATATTTGATTAAAAACACAACGAAGTAATCCCATCACCCCAGCGAATTTTTTTCAGGGTCTCGCCACCTTCAAGTCTTTTAATCTCTCTAATCAAACACAATATTTAACGTTCTGGAAATCACAATATTTACATATTATTAACAATTTGAGAAATTACAAATTACAACTATAAAATACGTGAAACAGAGACGGAAGAATGAAAAAAAAAGAGACAAAAACAGAAAACAAAGATAGTAGAAATATCCCCATACAATTTGTAATAAAGAGCAAACCCTTTCTAAGAAAGTTAAATTTAGGAGGGTACGTAAAATAAGTACTTTGGCCCCATATATGTGTCCATACCAGTTATTTTTATTGTTATGTTTTAGTGCTAATCAAAAATTTTACACGATACTTATATATTCCAAATGCATGCATACAAAAGATAGTTTAACACAGCCTTAACAGAAAATATTCTATTTGTTGAACTTCTGACGAGAAGACAAATTTCTTAACATAGTCATATCGAGTAGCAAAAAATATAATTATACAGTATTAAAAGATAAAATCGACGTCATGATTTTATCCAAAAGTGCTCAGCTCAATTGTTGTAATTAATACAGTATTTTACTACGTGAATTGAATACACCCATCAGAATATTCTGTTTTCTTAACTTCCGTTTCTAATGCATTTTATTCAAACGGGACTTTTTTTTTGGTTTTAATATAATCATATTGAGTAAAAATTATAATCAAAATCCGTCAAAAAAACATGATGTCCCAGGTGGTACCCACCCAATTAGATGGTCGTGATTTGATCCAAGCGTGTAATGAATTGAATACGCGACCTCTCTTCATGCATGACGGCGAATGAATGGTTAGCCATTGCATTTTTCTACATAATGATGACACTGGCACCAGCGAATGAATGGTTTTATTTTTGGATCTTCGGAAATTAAAATTTACTTTTACAAGTCAAATTAATATTTACCTATTGACATAATATATAAGCAGTGAAATAAGACTACTGACATTAGCGCAATCAAATAAAACTAGTGACATTGACAATTCTAGTTGAAAAATTATTAAATACTACTAGCTTATAGAATTTTAAGATATATTCTGGTTAAGAAGGAGAAAAAGAGCAAGAAAATCAATCTCAGGTAACTATTGTAGTTCTGATCATTCGTTTCAAATTTCTGTGAATAAAGCAAAGATGTTCACAAAAAAATTATTTTTTTAGTTACAGGTGAGAGAACCTTTCTAACCAAAAACAAAAGTGTACTTCTTGGTTAAAAATGGCAATTACTGAGACGTGGCGTACTACTTTGAGCGTGCCTGTGGAAAGATCATACGGTTATACTGCTAGAACGACCGTTTTTGTGATAAAGC